AGAGCCAATGCAACTCGTTGGGAAGAGCAAGTGCCAAGCTCGCTCAAAACAGCCCTATTGAAAATTCCATCAAGCTACGTAATTTGGGACACTGACTGCCAGTCAGCAGCCTTGGTGGAACGTGATGGACCATCAGACGTCATCTGATGGTCCATCAGATGACGTCTGACTGCCACTGCCAAGGGAATTTCATCAACAGGGGCAGCATTTATATAAGAGTGAAGCTATACGCACTCATAAATATCGCCAAATGCCTCAATAAAACAAAAAGTTCGAAAAAAAAAAGCAAAAAAAAAAAAGCAGCATCACCGCGCATCGAACCCGCGACCACATGCGTACAAATCGGACACCCTAACCGCTATGCTACGCCCCTTTTTTTTTTTTTTAAAAAACACATTTATTTACATATTATTTACAGATGATTTCCACTCGCAGGTGGTTTGCACAACAGTTGAACAGATAGACTTACAAAGCAGAACGAACTTGACCGTCACTGGCCCGAGCAAAAACAGAGGAAAGATACGTTATATGGGCATGGGCATGACGTATTTACAACACAACAGGGCGCCCCTGCGCAGCGCGCCCCTCACTCAGCTTCCCCGCACTGGTTCTCGCGAGGTAGCCGCCAAAACCCCACCACGCTGAGGCCGGTGCCTACGGCGGATACCCCCGGCCTCCAGCTGTCTTTCCACGCACCGCCACTCGTCGGTCGCTGTGCTTGTCCCCCTGTCAATCAGTGATATCACCCAGTCCAGCTTGGCCACGAAGTAGTCCCAGGTTGGGCGTGCGTCTATGTGGCATTGCACCATCGCAGTGCGCGATTGCCAGATGGCGTGCAGTCCTAGTAGCACCAACACATAGGTCACCTCTGCCGTCTCCCTGCCGCCTAGAGCCAGATACTTGAGGTTAACCCACTCTACGTCGAAAGCCGTTCTTAGGTTGAAAATCGTCCTCATCTCGTCCCAGAACAGGTAGGCGTTCGAACACTCGACGAGGACGTGTGGGATGGTCTCGGTGGCACCGCAGAGGTCGCAGTTGAGCGACCAGGGCACAAAAATCCCCCTCCGGTGCAGCCATGTTTTGACTGGAAGCACCTCCAGATGCATGCGCACAAAAAAGTCCTTGCTGGCCGCAGAGACAGGGAGACGGCGCACGAGCTTGAAAAGTCCTGCTGTGCCGTCGGGTACTGGCGGCGGCCTATACAAAGGTGATGGAAAGGTCACAGAAACTGTGTCCCAGTAGAGTTTTCTTTTGCCGACGGTCGCCAAATAGTCCCAGGAGAACCGAGCCAGGAAGAACTCGATGGAGGCCGCTATTTCGCTGTAAAAGCGCAATGCGGCTGCCTTCGCTGTGCGGCCACTGGTGGTCACCATCCATCTTCCCAGGTAAGGGAAGCCGAGGTGGTGTAGCGCACTCAGGAGAACGGGGTCCTTTGCGTCCCGGAAGAGGAGAAAACGATGTACATGTAGCTTGAGCACGATGTTTACCAGGCCAAGACCTCCGCCCTCCTGGTGTAGGAAGAGGTGCTCCCGCCGTGTCCGTTCCATGGATGATTTCCAGACAAAGACGGCCCAGCTTCTGTGTATCCTCTTGGCCGTCACTCCAGGGCAGCATACGGCCTGCGCCTTGTAGAGAACGGCTGGGTATATGACAGCGTTGCATACGTATGCACGGTTGAAAAAGGAGAGATGTCTGCACTGCCAGGGTGAGAGCTTGGATGCTACCGAGTTGGCAGCCTTTTTCCATACTGTGGAGGAAGGTCCCTGTGGGTCAATAGGAACACCGAGATAGTTTCCGACTGACGTGGTCCAGCCAATCCCTGCGAAGAGCTTTGGCGTTGTTGCCCATCCCCCAAGCCACGCTCCCACCGACTTTTCCCTGTTTATCTCCGCGCCTGCTGCGACGGTGAAATTCTCCACATGCCGCAAGATGGTCTCCACCTGTCTCTTGGAAGAGCAAACGAAGGACACGTCATCCGCAAAGGCCAAAACCCGGACATTCTCGTTTCCTAGTTGTAGTCCCGTGATAGTTTGGTCTTCATTGATCGCGCGACATAATGGCTCAAGCTGCAGCGCGAAGAGAATTGGCGAAAGGGGGCATCCCTGACGGACCGACCTCCCTATGCGGATGGGCGCTCCCCTGTCTCCGTTGATGAGTAGGCGTGTGCTGATGTCGCGGTAGCAGAGGGCTATCCACCCCCGCAGCTCCTCCCCCACACCGAAGTGTTTGAGTGCTGCATGGAGAAATTTATGAGACACCCTGTCAAACGCTTGACGCAGGTCCAGCTGAATCACAGCGAGAGGCTCGTGACCCACAGCGGTCGCCTCGCAGACGGAGCGCATGGCGTGCAGGTTCCGCGCTATCGATCGGCCACGGATCCCGTAGCTCTGATGGGGCCCTATGACGGATCTAAGCCCAGTGTCGAGTCGTCTTGCCAGTATCTTGGCTAGAATCTTGAAGTCACAGCAAAGTAGGCTGATCGGGCGGAAGTCAGTGACCTCAGCTATAGGACTTGTCTTTGACTTCTTCGGTATCAGTACAGTAAAACTTTTCCTCATGGACGGGGGGAGCAGCTTGCGTTTCTTTATGTCCTCGAACACCTGAACCAGGATTGGGCAGAGCGCATCCGAGAAGATCTTATAAAACTCTGCTCCAATGCCGTCCGGGCCGGGCGCCTTGTTGCGTGACAGTCTTTTTATAGCTTGCTTGACTTCTGACAGTCGAATTGGACAGTTCATAAGGTCACTTGCTTCTTCGGGCACGGTCGGCGACTCATGTAAAATTGACTCGAAGGCGGTCTCGTCCAGGTTTTCCTCTTGAAACAACCTCCCGAAAGCCTCCTCAAACGCGCCCGCAATTTCTTGCTGCGATGTTGCTACGCCCCTCTCGCCACGCACTTCCCTTAAGGTGTTTTCTCTCACCCTCTGTCTCTCATGTGTGCGGAAGATCTTGCAAGGCTGTATTTCCCCCTCAAGAGCCTGCACTCTGCTCCTGACTTGAGCTCCCCTGTAGCGCTCTTCGAGTATACCGAGCAGCTGTTCTTTGCAGTTCTTTATGTCGTCCGCAAACGTTCCAGGGTTTTGCTCCTCCTCCTCTAGAAGCATCCGCAGGGTCTTGGCCAGGTGGATTCACTCGACTTCACTATTCGTTTTATACAAAATGCTTTGGCTGCAAATGCAGTTAAGTCGTCAGCATGTTATGCAAAGCACTCGTACATCACTCGCCGTACTTCAGTTCTACTCACCTGCCATGTAGAGTACTTTCGCGTCGTAGAACGATCCTTTTGTTCGCGCATCACCGGCCCAGTAGACCTGGTACACCCTGTCGTCTTCAACTACACCGCTTAAGTCCCTTACATCGTCGGAACTCACAACAGGCTGGGTCTTGTCGAGTGGAAATTCTACTAAAACATAAGACATTGTAGAGCCCGGGCAGGATCGACAGGTTAAAGCAAGCGGGCAAGCAAACCGAGTCGAGAGCGATCGTTCATGAAAGCTCGGCGAAGCCTCTATGGGTGAAGCGAAGTCGGCGAAGTGCGAAGTGTCGTGTTCGGCGCTTCCGCGGCCTTCTGATCAAGGTTGTCGGTCGGTTGCGTGTCATGTCTCTAACGTCAGCGGTTTTATGGGCTCACGTCCCAAAATCGTTTTCTCGTGCATAGATTACTTTTCGTATTCATAGATTTGACGAAATAGCGGTATCCGAACGAACTTTACGTCCTTTGACCGTACGTCTGTCTGCACGTCAAAGCTTTCTGACGTACAGTCAGAGACAATCGATGTACAGTCAGAATCACCACCAAGACATCCTGATGGCATTTCGCGGCGGCCGACTGCCACCAGGAAACCATCAGAAAGCCGACAAGCGGGGTCTGACTGGAGTTTGACTGTCAGTCAGAGTAACTTGTTGGCCAATCAGACATGCTTGACGTACAGTCAGGCACAGTCAGCGGTCCACTAGAAAACATTGACTGCCAAGCAGGGTTACATTGATGGATTTTTCCTTCGGGAGCTACTCGGTTGGTTCAGGTCTTTGTCGCAGGTGTGCCGGCTGGCTTCTGGATAATCTTTTCAAATCCTTCAAGCTTTCATTTTCCCCACCCCAAACTAGTAAAAAAAAAAAAAAAAGGCAACTGGCAAAAAAAAAAAAAATAAAAAAGAATCGAAAAATGGCGAGGAGGAAACGAGAGGCGATTTCCTCCTTTCACAGTGGCGAGAAGGAAAGTGAGGGTCGGGTTCCTTCTCTCTGCTTGCGGGCCGGCCTTTAAGTGAAGACGCAGCCGACGATACAAGCCGATGGTACCAAACAGTGTCAGAAGTACAACGTCATGCCAGGTCAGGCATCGTACGTGTTCCATCGTTGCAGAACCCATCATGTACAGAAATGACCCTAAGTGGCTTGCGCTTTTCACGCTGTTCGATTGGTCACATCAACTCGTAGCGACGGCTGCGTCTGGACATAAAGTGAAACGAAGTATAACAATGACGTAAGGCGCCGGCCTTGTCTTCTATAGTTCGACTCGGAATGTCATATAGTCTTTGACGCAAAGTTGTACTCGGAGTGTTTGCCAGTAGCCGTGTGTTTAGCAGGTTCGACCACCGCACACCGCATTCCTTTCGGCCGTAAATCCACACCGCGCTCCCTTCGGGCAGGTGCGCAGACACTCGCGACACGCTTCTTCCGCTTCCTGGTGGAAAGAGCTGAAATCGAATCGAGTTTGGGGGTTTGCCACGTACCAAACCAAAAGAAGAACATCCGGCGCTCCCCAGCGGAGGACTGAAAATTATTTTAGAGCCCCTGGGGATCGTTTGACGCGCAACCTAAATCTCGATGGCACGGCGCCTTGTTCGCAATAAGCCTGCCGTTGCGGGCAACTTGGCTTGGGTTCGAACCCGCCAGCTGGGGATCCGTGGGTCAGTGCTTTGCCTTTGAGCCACCGACAGCGTCTGGTGGAGAGAGGTAAAGAGAAAGAAAGGCTCACAGACGCCGTTCCTCCTTCGCAGTGAACCCGGCTAACAGCGCATCGGTGGGAGCAGCGTGTCCAGGCTGCGGCATGCTGTACTGCCTCTGCGCCCACCCTAGCCTCGGACTCAGTATGGGCCAGGTGGCGTGAACCGAAAACGCCGACAGCGTCCCATGCCGAGGCCTTGCGTCCTCGTCGTCAGCAGCTGGCCGTTAAAGCAGGTCGAACAGACACCGAGTCCCGGACAAACGCCAGAGAGTCGGCGTCGAGAGTGAGCCGGTTGAACCCGGCACTCTCCCGGATCGGACACATTACGACCCCGAGCTGGTCTCGAGGACGACACGTAGCGACCGACTCCGGCCCAGTCGGGTCGGGCTGGTTGTGTCATCTCCCAAGTGACTCGAATGTGACAAAGTGAAGACGTCATCTCGCTCGGCTGGCCCGGACGTTTGTACGTGGACACCAGCGAGCCACGCTCTCCTGGTGTCCAAATCTACCGGAGGGGTGGTGCACTAGCGCATCACTCAGCAAAGCAAGCGCACCGCACTAATCTCGGGTCTTAGTTCTTAGCGAGTTCGGGGCAACGCGACAAAATCCAGCTTTCGACACATTTTCATATTCCTATCGCGGATGCATGCACTCTTCCACTATCGTGTCCATCGACAGCTCAAGAGAAGCAGGGAATGGCCTATCGTAGATTCAAGTTTCGCGATTGGTTCTTAGGTTTCGGCTCGTACCGACACCTCCTTGGCTGCGGAACGACGCTCTGTAAACTCGCCACGCCCCGCCTTTCTTAAGCTGTCACGTGACTATGGACCGCAGATGTGCCGGTTGTGTCGAGGCAGCGTCCGAGGAGCCGCTCTGGTCGCCTATTTGTGGAAGGGTACCGGGGTGCCACGAGTACGAGGACACCCGTGCTCTCGCGGACACGATACGCTCGACACCGAGTGAAATCTAAACTTTCTCCTAAAACCGCTGTCCTCGCACCGCTCGTGCGTCGTGCAAAACACACGCTCTTCAGACACGATGAAAGGACTATCTGCGGATACACCATCTTCGAAGTCGCTTCGTACATGTCTGAAGACAGTTCTTTTTTATGACCAACGTGACCAGGGAGAAACACGTCTCAGTCTGCACGCTATTGTTGTTTTTATTTTTTTCTGCGATGCATTGGCTGTGCTTTAGGGTATAGGGTCGGCAATCCGCGCAACACGAGCCGGCCTAAGACGCTGGATGAATATCATTGGGGAATTGTAGTGGATCGTTTTTCTCCTCCGCTACGTTATCCCCGAAGAAAACGCCGCAGCTGCGCATGCGCGCCGCCAGCCTTGTCTGCATAGTTCAAGGTCTTGTGGCGGATTACGGAGCGCTATCCGGGTGCTTAGCGGGCTGCGGAAACGGTCTACTACAATTCCCAATTGAGCATACGAGTACCGCCAAGGTGATGCATGTTGGGATGCGCTTGAGACAAAGATGGCGAAGCGTCGCCGCAAACGCGGTGCGTTGCTGCAGACGCGGTGCGTCGCCGGTAGCCACAGCAGACCAATGGGAGCGCGCTCGATGACGGAGCCTCATCGCTAGCTGTCTAGGCTGACCAGTAAGGGGAGCGTACGTTCGCGTGGAGGATGCTTCCTAAGAAAACAATATATGGCGACGCATCGCCGGCATTTTATTGGATTGCCCGCGGCACAGCCAAACGATGTATGGCGGTACTTTGGCACGTGGGAATAACCGGCGCTTTATGTCGCCCCGCAAGCTGTTGCCCCCAGTTCGCCGGTGCTGGAGTAATTGCTTTCTCGTCGAACAAATCCTACGATAGACGGGATTTCAATTCTCAACGGCAAGTGGTTGCTCGTTTTCTTAGGTCGGATAATTAACATATCAACTAAACGCGTCTCAAAAAAGAAAATTGCATTTATGAATAAAAAAAAATTAGAAAACTAGAGAGACATATACGTTTAAAGACAAAACCTTACTCACTCTTTTTTTTTTTTTTTAGATTGCTGTTTGAGATTTGTTAACACTTGTCTAAATGTGAAATTAAGTTTTTCGCGCCCTTTCAGAAAAATTCCCCTTCAGTTTGGTACAACCAGTTCACGACCCCAGTTTTCCCGAGGAATGGCTGAAAACATTCCAGCGGGAGATATGTGGCAACGTCCATCGTGCAGCTCCGTCTTTTAAACTACGTAAACAGGAACAAGCAAGAAACATTATTCCCTATACAGGGTGTATCACTTTAATCCGAACAGATTTTTCTAAAAGGGTGTGACAGTTTGACGAGTGCCGTCTGCGCCCTGTATTTAACAGGCTCAGTGGACATTAGATACGGAGTAATCGTCATTGGAAGTTACCAATTAACTAAAGTATGGTAATTAACTTTTAATAATGGGTTCCATGCTTGTCCACGTTGCAATATGAGTATTGATAGCAATTACGATTAGAAGTTAAACAAATTCAAATAATTTGCAAAAAAGTAATGGTTTTTAGAACATTATTCGAATTAGAGGTCACCGCAAGCCCTGCCCACAATGACGCTTCGAAAAGTGGCGTGGACGTTTAATTCATGTGGTCACTTGTGTCGTCAGCGACTCCCTCAAGGACACGCAGCCGAGATAGTGACAATGTGACTGGAACGACGCGTCACTCTTTCCCAGCGTCATTAAGGGCAGGGCTTGCGACGACCCTCTTAAAAGCACTTTACAAATCCGGCGAAAAAAAACTCAAAAATTGATTGAAGATAGTATTAGGAACCATTGCCTTTTCGCAGATCCTCTAAGTTGGTCTGGTCTCTAATAGTAATTTCCGTCAATACTGCAATTACAACATCACCCCTAAAACCAATGAATGAGAAGTCGACCAACAGAATTTTGTTAATTAGTGAACTTAACACGACGATTATTTCCTCATCCAATGTCCCCCGAGCCTAATAAACACATGGTGAACACGGTGCTTCCATATCTCTTGTCCTCTTTCTTACAAAAAAACAAAAAAAAAACAGGTTTGAATTAAAATTTAGCAGCCTGTATAATACAATTTTAATATTGCTAGGTAAAATGCAAGACTAGCTCAGACAATTCCGCACCGATTAGGCTGTGTAAAGCAACTGCGGTTCTGAACTGTCTGCGGAAGATTGGAGGGGACTCTCTCTTTGTGAGTACAGATAATTCAATCGCGAGTTCCCAAGAAAAACTAAAAAAGTAATTGTGTTGTCTCATTGTTTAGACAGGAGGAAGTTACATGAACGTCTAATGTCTAACCTGTAGACGGGAAATTTTGCCAGTGCGGTACCGCAGCTATTCTGGGGTTTTTAACGTGCACCATGCAGTAGTGATAACATGACCGCACGCCGGTACGATGCTCATCTAGGTTTAAACCGGCAGGCGTGGGGACTGAACCGAAGGTCTGCAGCGCGAGCTTTCGCTCCACCTGCTCCGCCGAGATGCGATGCCTTTGAAGGGCTACTCCGACCGTCTTTCGAGCTACCCAAACAAATTGCATTTTCTGACTACCCGGACTTTAGTCTCCACGGTATTTTCTCAAAATTCAAAACAGCAGTTGAGAAAACCGTGAATGAAGATGATGCCGAAACCTACATTCAAATTTCCGCGCGCTCTCCAGTGGTGTGACGTCACAAATGGTACAGACTTTCATGTCGCTCAGGTAGTCTTAAACAGATTATGTCGAGTGTTTTTTTTTTTTCGTGCTTTTTAGTGAATCAGATACCAAGCATTATTTTCCCATCATGATATGTCTTGTAATCAGTTGGGAACATGGCTTACTGGCCACCTTGTACCATTTCTGTCGTCACACTTTAATGTTGCGAGGGGGGGCTTTCGGTTTTAGAAACACGATGAAAACGAAATTAGAAAATTCAATAACTTCGCGAAATGTTTTTCTTTTCACGCAATCCTTGGGGAACTGGTAAAGCCGTGTCTATCGGTGTGTTGAGCCAGTTTTAAGGCAAATCAGCGACCATAAAAAAATCGCCAGAGTGCCCCTTTAACACACTCGGCGTTAATACGCGGTATTTAGACGAGTATGTCCAAAAAAGGAATAAGGGCCTACCTTTAAGCGAACAGAAACAGCGTGAGTACTTTTCTCTAGTTTTGTGTTTTATTGAAAAGTTTATTTTTGATACGCCCCTTGAGATTCTGCTGATCTACGGGCTAGTCCTCTATTTATAGGGAATATTCACTAGACGCCATATTTGTGGGCGCTGTTTAGAGCGCATGCTCAGAACGCGCTGACATCAATAGGCTGCTAAGACCGGCACTCTCGATGGTGCGGAATGCACGTTGCAAAACAACTGTGGCAGCTCGCCATCAGCACGCGCTCAGCATTCGCGCACACAGCTATATGGCCGCCAGTGAATACTCCCTATCGGGAAAAATCAGTTTCTTTTCAGCTCTGTTTTCCTCGTGAGTAACCGAGCCGACACAGATATATTTGTCAGCATTCATTCGACCCACCACTCTATGAGTAGGTTGCCTACTCCCGGCTTAGTGGACTATCAAAGTGTGTTTTAAGAGCAGACACTCGAAGTCTACGTGGCGTGTCCTGCGACGCAGAAATGTCGCTCTCCACGTTTTGGCGTTAGTTCCGGGCGAGCTACGTTCGACACGACATGTACAACATCGCGTAAGCCAAAGAAGTGTCTTCTGTTCCTCGACTAGATCGACCTTCCAGAACGACCGAATAAAAGCGATTTACCCTCGTTGATGCGCCGTTCCACGTCTGACCGCTGCGATTCTTCATTGGTATTACCTTTCATTTATCGTCGCTCAATGTGTGCTGTGGCGGGCATCAGTGAGGCAGCTGTGATACACGATCAAATAGTAATCAAATATGAGAAGAAAAAACGCAGAATTCCAGAGGTGAGTAAAACTGCCGAAATATCATGAGCCATTCCACTCTGGGAAGGTGGATGACCAGCGAAGCTGTTATAGCACGCGGCACAGACATGACACCGAATGTTGAATAAAGGTACGAACACATTGACTGTCTTGCCAGTTGGTCATCGTGACGAAAGGTACGCACACACATGTCGAGGACTATCGACGCACACGAAAAATCTACGGAACCCTAGACATAAACAGCTTCGCTGTAAAAAGTACATTCTGCTCTGATGTTGTAACGAATAAAAAATTAGA